CTTGGATCAGTGGCAAGGTTGTGTTGCATGTGATCAAAAGATTACGAGTTTGAGTTTAGGAAACAGTTTTTTTGTATAAGGGCAAGTTTGCGTACAATCGACCCTTATCGCTACCTTCACAAGTCGGTGAGCCTTGTATAACGATATTTTCCCTTTCTGTTATCTTAAAATAGCCAGGAAAAGAAAAAAAAACAAAGTGTGAATTAATCACACATTATTTTGTTTCTGTGATGTTGTTCAAATTGCTGACAGCACATATCTCTGGAGTTGATTCATATGAGTTTCTTGTAAGATAAGGAGGACGCATGATGATAAGATTTGCATAAACAACGGTCCATATGCATGCTTATGCACCTTTTTTATACATGCGCTTGCTTATGCACATTTTTTAATATGTCTGTACAAGGACAACGATCTTTTGTGACTTCAGGCCAAATCATAAACAACTAAGTCTTATATATAAAAGATGCTAAAAAGTTAAAAAGGAAACCCCCAAAAGAAAAAAAGTTGATGTTAAAAACCACTTGAGGAAATCCAAGGGTATAAGTTCCTTTTGCAATCATTCCTAAGTACGATTTGCTAGTTCCTTTTGTGGAAGAGAGAAAACCAAAAACTGAAATAAAACCAGTTTATAATGAATTTGTATTATCATAGAATAATCAGTTGTAACGGTTTTTCAAGACATCACCAAAAAATAGGTTTTCTCTCATCATGAAAAATGTCACGATTTTTCGAACGTGATTAGTGAATTGCATCAATTTACACGTTTTATTTCTATAAACACCGATTTAGATTCTCGCTTTCAAGGCAACAAAATTGGGAACATGGCCTTCTATTTCGATGATATATAAGAGTGTCTTTTTTAATAAAATTGGCCGATGTATCCAAAAAACAAAGGCAATAAATTAATCAAACTTAAAACACAATTTGGCTATTTGAAAATTTGTTTCCAACTTTATTTGTTGATTTGAAGTAGTTTGAATTTAGTTGTGAAACTTGTTTGGCGAAAAGCCATCGATATCTTTTCCAATTAGTTTTAATCGAAATAATGTACCTTTTACATTAATTCACTCTGATATGTGGGGTCCCTTATCCATTCCTGGTTTCTCTGGGGGTCGATGGTTTGTGGTCTTTATAGATGATTGCACTAGGATTGACATGGTTATATTTGATGAAAGCTAAGAGTGAAGTAATTATTATATTCCAAGGATTTCACAAAATAATCCAAACTCAGTTCAATGCCAAGATTCAAGTACTCCGCAGTGACAATGGTGGGGAGTACATGAATAGATATCTTTATGAATATTTCCACCGACATGGTCTTATTCATGAAACTTCTTGTCTTGAGACTTCACAACAGAACAGCGTGGGTTAGTGAAAAAAAGGCATATTCTTGAAACTTCTAGGGCTCTCCTTTTCAACCATCATGTTCCATCTCGTTTCTAGGACGCTGCTGTGGTGACTGTCGTGCACCTACTCAATCGAATGCCTTTAAGAGTTATGAACTTCTCTACACCTTTGGAGGTTCTTTCGCGCTTCACTCCATTGCCATCAGTGTTAACTATCCCTCCTCGCGTCTGTGTTATGTAGCATTTGTGCATATTCCCATGACTCAACACTCTAAATTAGATCCGTGTGCTCTTTAGTGCAATTTTGTAGGATATGGGGTCCATCAAAAGGGTTATCGCTGCTACAATCCTACTACACGACGTACCTATGTGACAACGGGTGTTACCTTCGTGGAAGGTGAAAGTTTCTTCACGCCTACCAATTCTACCTTTCAGGGGGAGACAACTGGTGAAAAGGTGAATTGGTGGGACAAGGTGTCTCTTAATAGCAGTGGTCCCACCATGGAAGCAATTCAAATTAATATAATAATGTTGTAGAGATTCCCAAACATATGGTTGATGACGTAAAGCCTATTCTATCCACTGCAGTTGAAACATATTTTCGCACAGGAAGAAGTTGATGATATACCTCCACAAGAAGAAGTAGGTATCATACAGCTCCCCTCTTCCCAAACACGTGACCAATTGTCCGAGGATATCCCTCAGGTAAGAAACCATCACTTACCTCACGATTCTAATGTACCTCTGAGTTATAAATTTCCTGACAGGATCAATAGGGGGAAGCCCCCTAATAGATATTATCCGGATGCTGAAGAGAGAAAAAATGAGATACCCTATTGCAAATTATGTGTGTACTGAGAAGCTGTCTGACTCCTTGAAGAGTTTTGTTATGAATGTATCTTCTATTCATGCTCCATGTGGGGTACACGAAGCAATGGAGGATTGAAAGTGGGTAAAGGCTATGGAAGAAGAAATGGAGGCCTTGCAGGAAAATAAAACATGGAGGCTAGTACCACTTCCTAATGGGAAGAAAACTGTGGGGTGCAAATGCGTCTTCTCTGTGAAATACAAACCATATGGGTTTATCGAAAGGTACAAGGCCAGGCTAGTAGCAAAAGGATATACTCAAACATATGGGATAGACTACCAAGAAATCTTCTCCCCAGTTGCAAAACTGAATACAATCTGAGTCTTGTTATCACTCGTTGCCAACTTAGATTGGCCATCACAACAATTTAATGTGAAAAATGTCTTATTATCATTCCCAGATTTAAACGTTGCTGTCCCCAGCAATGTACAAGACTCAATCCAGGAAACATTCAATTAACCCAACATAACAATCTATAGCAACTCTCAGACACAATATGCCATGCATGACTGACCCAATATCATAAATTCCCAATAATGTCATCAGCTTCTTAAAGATACAAGTCTACATTGATTACCCCTCATACAGATAAATAATGTCCACTCCCACTTAGTGTTTAAGGGTATCATGATTTCTCAATAAATCACAGCTATAACACTACCATAGGCTTGATCATATTCTCAAAAATTCTTAAAAATGAAGAATCAAATACATGCAGCAATTGATAAAAAGGACTTCACAGGTTGTAACTTGGCCGGGTTAAAGGGTAGGAATATATGGATGGTAGCTCAAACAACAATGAGATTGAAAAACTGATATTATTTCACTTTAACACATTCAACTCAATGGTTTTGCTCCACTAACATTCTCACAGAATTTTGGGAATTAATTCCTTTAAGCCACTTTTTATGCACATTCATTCTTTTCCTTTTTCTTGCTTTTTCCGTTTTTTCTCTCTTTGTTTTAAGGGCACAGATGAAATTTACATCCGCTAATTACTTGACCTTTGTGGAACTTACCTCAATTTCTTTGTTTTATTTTCAACACATCAGTAATTCAATCTCAATCAAGGTAAGTCACATGAGTAACTCTATTTCGGAGCCATTTCTCATCTCGAGCAACAACCTTAGAAGGTCCAACAACGAACTTCAAATCCTTGTTAACATCTATGTCATCAGGTTGTACAATGTGTGAATCATCGGATATATATCTGCGGAGCTGACTAACATGGAAGACGTCATGTAGATTCGCTAAGTTGGGAGGTAAAGCAAGTTGATACGCCACCAGTCTGACCCTCTTGATTATCTGGTAGGGCCCAATGAACTGTGGACTCAACTTCCTCACTCCCAAGGCACGTCCAACACATGTAGTGGGGGATAATCGAATGAATACATGATCCCCTTCAAAAAACTCGAGGGGTCTGTGCTTGGCATCGTAGCAACTCTTCTGACGGCTTTGGGCTTTCTTCAGCCTATCTCTAATCATCTCAATCTGCTCTGTGGTCTCTTGGGCCAAGTCTGGCCCCATTCACTGTCTCTCTCCAATCTCTGTCCAACAAGTAGGTGCTCTACACCTATAGTCGTACAAGGCCTCATAAGGGGCCATGCCCAAACAGGCATAACTGTTATTGTAGGAGAACTCAACCAGTGGCAGGTACTTGTCCCAAGCATTACCCTGCTCTAACACACACGCTCTCAACATGTCCTCTAATTTATGAATGGTCCTCTCTGTCTGACCATCTGTCTGCGGGTGATATGCAGTACTCAATCTCAATTGAGTACCAAAGGCCTCATGCAACGCTTCCCAGAAGCGTGAAGTAAACTTCGGATCTCGATCACTGACCATGCTTTCGAGAATGCCATGAAGCTTCACAATCTCTCTGACATATAGTTTGGCTAGCTACTCTGTGGAGAAAGTCGTCTTGACTAGAATGAAATGGGCGGATTTAGTCAAACTATTAACCACAACCCATATTGAATCAAATCCAGCCTGACTTCTCGATAAGCCCACAACAAAGTCCATGGATATACTCATCCATTTCCACTCCGGAATATCTAATGGTTGTAACAAACCAGAAGGCTTCTGATGCTCAATTTTTACCTTCTGACAACTAAGACACTTATTCACAAACTGGGCTATGTCTTTCTTCATCCCAAACCACCCAAAAATTCCGTTTTAAATCTTGATACATCTTGGTTGCACCTGGGTGAATGGTGTACATACCCATATGGCCCTCTGTTAGCACTTTTTCCACTATTGGCCCCTTTGGAACAATTAACCGATCTTTGTAGTATTTCACATTAGAAGCATCAATGAACACAAAATCTTGCTCTTTCATCATCTGGATCCCTTCATCAAGCACTTGGGCCGCTTTAACTCTCTCCATTAATGAATTTCGGACTTCAACTGTAGTCATGAAATATGAAGTCTCGAGTGGTGTAACTGAAATTCTCAAATCCCTGAACTCTTCAATCAAGTCATACTCTGCAATCATCATGCTAGCTGTAACGCTCGTCCGCTTCAAGAATCAATGACTATCCCTATAACACCTCACAATTTTAAATCAAGTAATTAAAATATCAAGTGAGCAATCAAGTGATGGATTAGTGAAAATCCTAAAGATTAGGCCAAAATACAAAGAAAGGGCAAAACGGTAATTAGCCAACACGCAACCCTAGGAAGATAAAAATTGAGTAGAATGTCTCAGATGGTAAAAATAACCCTGGAAATGGGTTCAGAACGAAAAATTGAGTGGATAGGCAAGTTTCAGAAAAATCAGTGAATAGTGTTTTTCGCGGGTAAAAATACCGCGTTACGATTGCACCGTAAAACGTGCCAGTTGAATTTTGAGCTCTAGGTTTCAAATATGAGTTACAAATGGTCTATTGAGTTAGGAAATATAATTGTTGATAAAATTTGATGAAAGTAAGTCACTTTGGGGAAGCGTGCCAACAGCGCGCGCAGTAGCTTAAAACAGTGTTTTCTCCGAACGATCGGAAAACTCCGAACTCACCTAATCAAGTATAATTAAAGGAGAATGGTCAATCTTAAAAATTAGAGTTTCTAAATATGTTGTGAATTTACAGGCATTTAGTGGAATTGTAGAGAAAACCGGATGAGTTTTAAGTCGCGTGAGGTGGCATGAGACCCACCCCACTTAAAATCCACTTAATCCACCTCATCACCACTATTCATCATCACCTTCTCTCCTCCCCTTTCAGCCAAAACCCGCAGCCCCTTCACCAACAACACCATTTTTGCTTCAAATTTTCATTTCATCATAACTTGGTCATTTTAGCACCAAATCAAGCGATTTTTGTGTTGAAATTTGTTGGAAACAACCTTCTACACACATTGGTGGTATCCATTCACCTTGAAACCCTCTCATTGGTGAGTTATTGGGCAAAATCAGCAGCGAAAATTTGGGGGAAAAATGGAGTTTCATGGAGTCATTTGAGCTTCCATTGCTTGGAGGAGTCTTGGGTTAGCTTCTAGCCTTTGTTGTGAGTATGTTTCCATCCCATTTACATGGTTTAATTGTGATTGAATTTTTGGAAACCTAAAGCTTGAATTTGATGATTTGTGTTGTCAGAGAGCTCAATTGGAAAATGTGTATTAGATGATAATGTCTTAGAATGATGTGTGAGAGCTAGAAATGCCATGAAAATTATTGATGAAAATTATGAAAATTTAACTTAGAAATTTTGAGGAATGTCATGACTTTGTGTTTTGGAATTTTGTTGGGAATTAATTAATGAGTTGTTGTATGATTATATGATGATATAATGTGGTTGTGTGAGGTGTGGAGTGATTAAAAGTGAATGGAAATCCTAGAATTGCCCTAGGTTACAACTTGGCCTTTAAAGGAAAATTAAGGAATTGATGTTGTTGGAAATTGTTTGAGTGATGAATTATGTGTTAAAAAGGTAATTAGATGAGTTGTGTGGTGATTGGCAAGTGGAAGAATCAATGCAAAAATAATAAGTGGCTTAGTTGGCATAAAGAAGTCTTCCGCAAGAGTTTACAGTTGCGGTCACAGCTTTTAATTATTACGCCTTTTTATGTTTTAAATGCTCGCGTAATAATCGGAAAAAGTTTATTCGCATTTTTATAAATGAACTGCTGTGATTGTAACTGCGCTTAATATCATAATTAATGTTAACAATACCGGTGTACAACGGGCTGTTACATTTTATGGTATCAGAGCAGTTTTGTTAGGGAACTCTGATAATGTATAGTTGTGTTATGTGTTGCATAGTTGTATGTAGATTCTTATCGATTACTGCATATGTGATTCCTTAGTGTGGGTCTGATCAACCCATTCCTTTGTGTTACATGCGTAGTCATCGTAAGAAGCCTGCGTGGCAACCTTGGAGCACCGAATGTAAGTCCTTAGCCTGATGTTGTGGCTGCAGTATTGACTGCTCCATGGACAAGAGATGGCAGTAAGTAAAACATGAATATTATAGGACTTAAGGGAAACAGACTTAAATGTTTTGTCTGACCTTGTAGATGAAATTATAAAGCTGGATTATAAGTGAAAGTTGTAAACAAACCTATGATATGTACGTTATTGCATGGGTGAACCTTGTAATACTACGAATAATAAATATATATAATTAAGATGAGTCTATAGTATGAAGATGGCATTGGTGAAACTTCCAAATAAATGTGTAGTATAGTATGTACAAGTGGACTTGGTGAATAGACTTCATCAAGGTGAGAGGTTTAGAACCTGTTGGATTGTTGAAAATGGTGAACAGGTATGCTCAGGTATGAGTGTGAATATTCTATTTCTGATTAGAAGTTATAAGTCCCTGATTGAGGAGTGTTATATATAATCGCATATGCCACTCATAGTGGAAAGTGTGTGGAAAAGGCACAATGCTGACGTTGTTTTGGATAGGTACTAATGATATATGGGCGAGTGCTTGTGGTGACTTCGAATATTCCGAGAGACTGATATACCAACAAATGGTGAATTATATAAGTAGTGGCAAGGATGGATTTAGTTTTATGTGACTTGATAATTAAGTTTCAAAGATTCCTATAGGATGAGACTTGCATGTGAGAGACATGGCATTTTTAAGGGTCCATCAGTTAGTAGTGAAATGGCTTGGTGTGGTTGTTTGATTCGAACAACCAAGATGATTGGTGGAAGTTAGTAAAGCTGTGAGTTTATAGTATTTTAAAGTGGACATCCATGATAAAAATGTCGATAATGAAGAAGTGGGGGTATAAACGAAGGAAAGATGATGTTGAATCTATAATATTGTTACAGAATGATGAGTAAAAATGGTTACTTGGTGAAAACCTTAGGCATAAGACCTTTGATACGAAAATCATTGATGAGTGCTGTGTTTAGACTGTGAGAGGTCTAAGTATGGAGTTGAGCTGGTTGAGTTGGTAAAGTTGAGATGGTTAAGCTAATAAAGAGTTTAACAATGAGTGTAAATTATGAATATGAGTTTGTAGATGGAAAAATTTCATGAATATTTGTGGTCGAAAGGCCTTATAGGGCTAATCGAAAATATAAACTAGTATGGGTATTGCTAGTTTCTTATCACAAAGAGAAAGATATAGTTGTGAGTACCTAAAAAGAGGTGAAGACACGTGACAAGGAAAAATAAAGTATATGAGTATAGAATTTAATGTGAGTCGTAATTGTAGGACACGACAAAGTGCCTTTGAAACTAGAAAGTATGTGCTTGGGTGAAAGCCAAGAAAACAACGAAATGATAAGAGTAGTAACAGAAATGGAAAGAAATGGTTGTTGGGGTATTGTCAAAATAGTGAGGACATCGAAAAGAGTTAAGTACTAAAGAACGTGTGAGTTGGAAATACTCCAGGAATAACTAGTGAATGTGCATGAGAACGGTTAGAGCCTAGTATGAAAATGATTAGGTGCTTTTGAGAACGACCATGGGTCAGAAGGATGGATAGAGATGAGAATGAGGTAAATTGATACCGACAAATCCGTAATATGGTTATATTATTACCTACAAATCAGCGAAAGAGAAACGGTAAACCAGAGAAAGTTTAAAGTATTATGAATTAAAATGTCACAGAACCATGAGAGACGAGTAATTATGAAGGATCAAAGGATAATGAGTATCATAAAAAGGAGATCATGCTTGTGATAAAAGTAATATGGTAAAGATACACACTTGAGGATGCTACTTGGGAGCGGGAGGATAAGATTCTCCGGCTGTGTCCTGAGTTAGCAGATGAGTATGATTTAATTTTGCGGACAAAATTCTAAAAATTTGGGGTGAATATAACACCTCACAATTTTAAATCAAGTAATTAAAATATCAAGTGAGCAATCAAGTGATGGATTAGTGAAAATCCTAAAGATTAGGCCAAAATACAAAGAAAGGGCAAAACGGTAATTAGCCAACACGCAACCCTAGGAAGATAAAAATTGAGTAGAATGTCTCAGATGGTAAAAATAACCCTGGAAATGGGTTCAGAACGAAAAATTGAGTGGATAGGCAAGTTTCAGAAAAATCAGTGAGTAGTGTTTT